TGGAGGGCAAGGTACCCACATTAATGGCGGAAGAAAGCTGTATTTCTCGATTGTGCCTTTTTCTGCCGAGAGGCGAATATAACAGATGTTTCTTGATGTTTGTCCATGTGTCGGACTCTTCGACACTCCAGTATGTCTGTTGTCTTTTGCTCGAGTTCAACGAGGTGATATGGCGGAGGTAAGCATGGCTTATTTGGGCAAACCGACCGCAGAAGACAACAAATGCCAGGGCGAGAACTGAGACGTAGATAATTCGCGTGATAATGACATCTCGGGGAACATTGACACCACCTAGTCCTCGTGAGAACTCGTAGACGTACGTGGCATTGGTCCCAAAGCCTCGTGGGGTGATGTGCCGACGAAGATCATCCATCGAAAGTTGGGGCTCCGTATGGCCCAGAGTAAAGTCTGGTCGTTGAAGTTAGGATGCTATAATGAGTTCAGATAAAACGAGCGCGAATCAAGGGGGTGATAAAGGATTGCCGATGTGAAAGGCCGAATCGAATCTCGTATGGAATATGACGTGATAAAGAATGCTGGATGGCGGGGGAACGAGTGGAATGCAGTGACCCTTCACTGACGATGAAAGCAACGGAGGATCGCCAAACTGCCGTAATAAGAGACAATGCCACTCGAATGAATGCAACAATGTCCTTATATTGATGATAAGTCGCGGGTGTTACCAGGCTATCGCTTCCAACAATTAAATTGTCCGCAATTGAAAGAAACGTTTCTTTCAAGGGTGATTGTATCTCAGTGGGACAAAAGATATTTTGGAATCTCCAGTGAATTCAAATCTAAGGCACGGTCAGTCAACACCAGCAGCTATCCAGCCTTCGAGATTTACTTACTCGCATCCTCCTACATGCATAGTCTAAACCAAGGAATCCAGTAAGGGGGGCTAATAGACGCTCAGCGTCAAGCGACAAATAAAGAGCGGATGTTATAAGTAAAAATCTCAAAAGAGCGAGAGAAACGAATGAGTGTCTATTGACTAAGACAAAGCTCTTCAGCTACGATACGAACGGACCAAATGTCGGCAGTGAACAGTTGGTGGAGACGATAAAGGGGGAAAAGCCCCTGACCAACTTGCCAGCAATTCTAATACGTAGAAGAGCGTTAATGCCCGCAGACAACAAGAGAATGTGTTGAAATGTTATCAGAGCCAGCTGACTTCGTCAAAAAATCGAGCGATAGGGAAGAGAATGACGAAAAAGAAGAAATGTAGAGTTTAGAAGCCGATAACGAAAGTTGCCTGACATCAGGATCCGCGCTGCAATTTAGGAATATCTTCACCTTAAAAGGCAACCATGGAGACCACTGCGGATCTGAGCTTGTAGGGTGCTGGTTGGTAAACAAGGACCAATAACTAGCCCACTGAATTTTTTAGCAATCGAAAGTGGCGTGGTCTTAGGAAGGGTTCTTTTCCCAGCGCTAAGGAAAGCGTCAAGGACGGTCTTATTTCGGCAGGGAGTCCATGAGGAGATCGGTGTTTCGACTTGGCAAACTTGATCCATTCACCGTCGAGGAATGGGGTCCTCTATGTGGCCCACGGACCCTTGCTGATAGGATCCGACCGATAGCATCGCCTGTGGACTATTAGGCGCCGAGTAGGTAAAAGGCATCCAGCCACTACTTCCATGGCTTGCAGCTTTTATGATCCAAGAGTCTCGCCACTTCCCGTGAGGTGTTCGAACCTAGTTGATCACGAAGGCGCATTGCGTGCGTTTCAGCTTCGCGAAGTCAATGGGAACCCGCGCTTTGTATTGGTCACAACTTGCTCGGTAGGTAGTATCGATGACCCACCGGCAAAGTTAGGTTGAAAATAGCGAAGGTGGACAGTGTACACATCGTGAAAAAGCAGTTCGCTCCTGTAAACCAAGACTGGCAAGACAGTTTTTGGGTGCTTCAGAATGAAACAATGGTTGCATTCACGATCCATTCTTTGTTGATGGGCGGAGTGGGCAAAGTCACATGGTGGTCACGGGTCCCAAGACTTTTTAATTTATTCCTTATATTGGGTAATGTTATTTTGCCCTGCTATTGCCCAGGTTTTGGTCTTGACTCTTGACAACGGTGGGCTTTTCCACTTTGGCGACTTGGGCTGAATTTTTCCCATTCAGCCCCGATTAATGAACAATTTTTTCACCTAATAGGAACGCCGTTGAAATTGAAGGCCCATCCCAGGATTAAGGTCTCGATTTCCATTGCCTAAAGACTTTGCCGGTATAGGGCTAAAGAAGGCTAACCCACTCTGAGAGGCACTGGAGATTCGATAGTTTCTCTAAACGCTCGGGCCTGGGCCCTGAACTTATCAGGAGATATTAATCGCAGCCTAGCTCATGCCAGCAATATATTCAGAACATGGCTAAAAACGTGGCATGACTAACGAAAGCAAAGGCAACACAACTGGTTGACAAACTAGTTTATCAGTCGAAACTGATGTGTTGGTGAAGGAACGGTGGAATGGTATCTTTTTCTTGATTCGAACGTTGAAACAATGGCCTATCAGTCATTAAAAAGGCTTCGGAACTTGGGCTCCGAAAATATGTACATGTGAACCCTATTCTATATGGAGCTTTCTCTGCCATGCTTGTTTACCGTCCCATCCAACCTCCGTCGACGCAGATAACTTCTCCGGAGACATAACTGCTTGCCTGGCTAGCCAAGAACACGATCACACCCTTGAAGTCGTCTGGGCTGCCCCATCTCCCAGCCGGAATCCTGGCCATAATACCTGCGTTACGATTCGAATCATTGATCAGAGCCGTGTTCATATCAGTTGCAATGTATCCGGGCGCGATAGCGTTCACGTTAATGCCCTTGGCGACCCACTCATTCGAGAGTGCCTTGGTCAATTGGGAAATACCTCCCTTGGAGGCTGCATAGGCAGGGACAGTGATGCCACCCTGGAACGACAGGAGGGAGGCAACATTGATAATCGATCCACGACGACCAGTCGGAAACTCAGAAGCATCTCGCGCCAGCAGATAGGCGCCAAATTCACGGCATAGTGTAAATACTGATGTCAGATTCACTTGGATCACCTACGTAACCAGCAACCGCCATTAGCTTTTTCATCCGGCAGGAAGGAACTAAACCATCTGGTCCGTGGAGAAAAGGGGTAAGCTCACCTCATCCCAGTCCTCATCTGGGAATTGCTCGCTTGGATGCCTTCTTTGGATTCCGGCACAATTTAGCAGAATCTCCGGTTTCAGGCCTTGGCTAGTTAACGCCGGAATGACCCCTTTAATTGCATCCCGACTAGATAACTCCGCTACATGAATCCAGGCTTTCCGGCCAATGTGGTTAATGATCTCATCCCGGGTGGAAGTGTTGGATTCGTCTCTCTGATATCACTCCTATGTCAGCATCCTATATAACTAATGTGGCTTGTCATACGGCGTCAAATAGTCACAGGGGACACCAACCTGAATCAGCACGATATCAGCGCCAGCCTCTGCAAGCGCAAAAGCCATTGCCTGTCCAATTCCTCTTGTTCCTCCTGTGACGATAGCGGTCTTTCCGCTCAGCGAAAAGAGTGAAGCCGACATTGTGATTGCTGCGGTATCAAGTAGAGTCCAATATATGAGGTTGAGATCCGCTTTTCGCCTTTAGCTCTCGCTCTTCTTCAAGTGCTATGAATCAAGATTGCAACTGGGAATCAATAAAAGAGTCTTTTTTTTATCTTCTTGTTGTCATTGCGATGATTCTTCCACTCATAATAAATGTCCCCCCACGTGCGGGGCAATAGAGACATTACCCGAAACGGATATTCCTATTGCCGGAACGATGATCAAACGCCGAATCCCCGCAGTCGGTAATTGAACCATCCTCGCCAAGCATCCAGAAAGCACGTGCCACGTATGATTACCGTCACGGGACCATGTGGTACACTTGATCTTGATTGTGGTTTACCATAACCCACTAGAGATAGGCTTCAGGGGTGGCGATAATCCTCTGTCAACTATTGTAATATCCATTCAGTGAAAGCCCCTAGGATATGGCAGCTAGCATATCACGAGTCTCCATGAGAGATATCAAAACTCCGGCGTATTCTACAGTCAAAGACAAGGTAACACGTAGCAAAAGCCAATGGACGACAGGGATTGAATAGATCTTTGGTGGGAAGTAAACTATCTCATGGTCGTTGAGACTCTAGAAGAATTGGTTGACTATAATCTTCCTGAGATCCTTCAAGAGAGACCAAGTCACCTAGATTTACTTCTGAATCTCAATGAACTATATAACCTATATAATACGCTGCCAAATAGGAATGTGGAAACAACTTCAAGGATTTTGGATGAAGAGAATGAGTGAAAAGACGATAAAATAAGCATTTCATGATCGTCTTCGTCTAGATAACTTCAAACCTTCTCAGGTTAGTCTATGAAGGAAGTTCATCAGGGGATGTTGTTCCTTAGACATTAAATACTGTCCAAACCATAGTACAGATGTATGTATGTATGAAACCAGGTATTAAAACACTCGCAACGGTAGGTAGCTTTAACCGTGGGTCACTAGCAACTCCGAGTTGTTAGCGATGCATGCATTGAACACATCCCGATCAACCTTGGCCGTTGACTCGACAATTTGGAATACAGGACTGGGAGGTAATACTTTATTCCATGCATGCTGCATAGTACGGATTTTCAATTCCAAAAAAAAAAAAAACCTTCAGTGTGGGGAAAGCACGAGCGCCTCCAAGATTACCCCAAAGATAATAACAATTTACCGGTCGATCTCCAGAACAGCGGAGCTATTTTCCAATCGCTATCTTACAGTTTATTTCAACCTGAGTCGGTCTCAATTGGCTTCTTGCTTGGTTTACTTGGAGTAGCACCTGGGCTCTATTTACGAGCTTTAACGCGTTGTCAAAACCTGCCTTTAACACTGCGTCCATGAAAATGTCACTTCTGACGTGTTACCTCTAATTTTGTATCGGACAACTTTCTCTCCGCCCTCTTCCTCGTCCAACATTTCTTTCTGTTCCTCTCAAGGGCAAAAATGGAACAGGAAGAGCGGTCCTCGCAGCCGGAAAGCACACCGGCGACGCGGCCGAAATCTCGCTCGGACCATTTGATGAAGCGCGTGTCGAGGGCCTGTTTGCATTGCAGGCAGCGAAAATCGAAATGCGATTTGTAAGTTCACGGATTGAGAAGTTGTGGTACTTCTTGTCACTAGCTTTATTTAGTCGGCATTTCCTTCTCCTGAGCTAATCAACAGCTACAGAGATAGTAACGGCAATCCTGGAGTACCACCTTGCAAGCGGTGTCTCCGAGATGGCCGCGAATGCATTCTGGGGAGTTCAAACCGTGGAGGTCGCCGTATCCGCAAGAACAAAATGAAGAACTTCACCCCAGAAACAACCCTTTCCGGCCGACGGGAATCTATTGTTGAATCGATCAGCTCAACCGCTTCAGACAATCGCCAGTCCACAAATACCTCATACCCCGGTCCTGTTGTTTTTGTGCCGCCTGAGCCCCCAGCGGCGACGTCAATATCGGTAGATGATGAAGATACGGCATCCATTGGGTCGGTCCCACGGAATCCATCTGATGCTTGGCAGTGTCTCACAGGCATTGCCAAAAGAGGTGATGACGGTCCTACCCCTGAAACGAACACTGATTCTCTGCGCACAACCCACAGCACCTTCTCCTTCAGTGCTCTCCAGAATGGCACTGTAACCGACTTCCAACCGAACAGTGGCATCAAGGCTTACAGACTCGTGCAATCACGGTCCTTGGACCCGGGAACAGTATGGCAGTTGGTGGTTCGATACGCCGAAAATTTCCATCCGTATCTCCCTTTGGTGCCGCGGAAATACTTTAACCGCGGTGCGCTGGATTCCTTCGCCACAAATGAGAAACATCTGCTCACTGCGGTACTTACAATCGCATCGAAGGATTTAGTCGAACGACCAGAGATCCACGAATATTGCTCGAAATATATGCACGAATTAATTTCAGGGATAGCTGCTGGTGCCGACTGCGATGTAGAGGCTGTGGAGGCACTTCTCCTACTTGCCGAATGGGAACCACAGGGTCTTCGTCCCCGTATCGAGCGCGTCGGTCGTGGTGAGGAGGATCGAGCTGCATGGATGCATGTTGGTCTAGCCTTACGGTCAGGCTATTTCCTAGGCTTGGATCGGACCTCCTTCCGAGGTGATCCCTCGGGGGATACGGAGACGGAGGCCCGCAGAAGGCTAGCATGGACCAGCTGCTACATTTCGGATCGGTTAATATCTGTCCGTATCGGACGAGCTTTCTGGTCCCGTGGACCGGGTCCAATGACAGGCCTTGTCAGTCAAGATTTCCCTTCTTTACAGCCCATCAAAGATGGAGATGAAGATTACGCGAGAATCTTCCAGGCGACCTTGGATTTAACACAACTTTATGGGAATGTTCATGACGTTCTTTACTCTGGCATGCGGACAAGCAACCAAATGATGCTTATGGGGGACTATGTAAAATACGTGGATGATTTTCGTCTCGCGATTTTGCGATGGAAGTCACTCTGGGGCTCATTGCCCTGTAAGTTGAGGGTTTCACTGACCCAGGCGAACTAACCAACACTGACATATTATAGGTTCTACGCCAATACAAGCTACTTTACAACTCTCATACGAATATCTGAGACTATACACTAATGCTTTCGCATTTCAGGCTGCAATCTCTCAATCAATGGTGTCGAAGTTAAAGAACGATCAGTCACAGAGGGAACATCTGAGATCAACATTCAAGGATGTGGCATCGATGCAAGATGCCAGGTTTATCTATGAATCCGTAGATGCCGCTAAGGCTTACTTGACAATCCTTGTTGACTTGGTGCACCCAGAGAAACATCTTCACTTTATGCCGCTCAGATTCTATCTCTACGGAATTTATGCAGCTGTTTTTCTATATAAGGTACGGTTGTTTTGCTTCCATTTGGAACTTGTCTCAGGGCTAATTCGAGTTCAAGGCTCGATCGTTTGGAGTTATGCCAAGTAGCGAGGAAACAAAAGTGCGCGATCTGGTCACACGAACAACCGACGTACTGAAACGAGCAAGTGCTGGACTGGATGATATTGGCTCACGTTATTCCCGGCTTCTGGAACTGCTGTGGAAGCCCAAGGCTGCGACAATTGCCTCCCCAGCTGGAACACATCAGAGCAGTGATTTCCAGGTGCAAAGTAATGCTATACCCCATCGCTTGCCTGAGCAAAGTAATTATATGCAATTCAGCCCTGCGAACGATTTCTCGTGGCTGGATCTTGAAGCAGTTGGGGACTACGTCTCGGGAGATCAATTACCCGGAGCGAACACATTGGCGTTCGATTCATTCCAGAACCCCGATCCGTATCAGACAGGGCAAGACCGTGCACAAGCCTGGCAGCCAAACTGGCCTGGAGATATGACCAATCTCCTATTCTAGTTGTCTGAGTCATGGTTATCTGGGACTGGAACAGAAAATCATCCTCCCATTATTGAGGAAAAGCCAGCCAAATAGAAGATCGGAACCAAAACGGAACGTACTGTCATTGTCCCCCACGTTACTGGTGCGGGGCTGATGAGAATGTGGGGTTTTGATCAGAAGCCGATCGCAGTGTCCCTCTCGGACTATTCTCCGACCCGCTGGAATATTATGCGCGGGACGAAGGAGCTCCGCATAACCTCTTCCTGTCGTACTTGTACTGTTTCCTTCCGAAGCCAGGAGACACATATTTGGACATCGTTAACAACATGGAGCGACAAAATGACATCACTGGCCGATTGGCCCTGATTACTGGAGCCTCTGGAGGGTAGGTAGTCTAGACCAACTTACGACGGGCTATTACCGGTCTAACTCAGTATTCTTCAGGATCGGGGCAGCTTGTGCTCGCCAGCTGGCTGCCAAAGGCGTCCATCTTGCCTTGACGTATTCCACGAATGTGTCTTCGACAACTGCACTCGCTGAGGAACTCAAATCCAAACACTCAGATAGCTACAATCTCCGGATCTCAGTCCATAAGGTGGATGTGTCTTCGGCGGACGAAATTCAACGTATGTTTGAGGAGATCGACCAACAACATGGTAAGCGACCGGACATCTTAGTCTCCAATGCTGGATACGGCAAGCGTATCCCACAGATATGGGACATTCCCCTCGAAGAATTCGATTATACAATCAATGTGAACCTACGTGCTTCATTCATCTTGGTGAAGGGCGTGGTGGAGCACATGAAGAGTCAGCGATGGGGTCGGATAGTATTCATGTCCTCAATTGCCGGCCAGGGAGGTGGGATTAATGGATGTCGTACGCGATCACTCTCCCTCAGAATGATGTTTCCCACGTTCGCTAACTTGCGCACAGATTACGCCGCTTCGAAAGGTGGAATGACGGGTATGATGAAGAATCTTTCCACCAGACTAGCTGAATACAACATTAGCGTCAACGATGTTGCGCCTGCCATGATCGGTGAAACCGGTATGATCCCCAGCGCCACCGCCATTCCTGAGGTTGCCGCAGGCATCCCTTTGGGCCGACTAGGCCTTCCAGATGAAGTCGCCAATGTGGTGACGATGCTTGTGACCACCGGTTATATGACTGGCCAAAGTCTGTTGCTTGGGGGAGGTTTGAAATAGTACATATTATATCATACACCCAGTTATGAAATCTAAGATGTTTCATAGTTAAATTGAAGTTTATACTCTGCCGAGTTTATACCCTCTATGTCTCAAGTTGTGTACCTCTATTGTATGTTGAAAATAAAAATTTTTTTTCCAAACATCACCAGGATGGCAATACATATACGCTCCTCCATACTCTCAATCTAGTTCTGTCATGATGGATTTCATCTACTATACACCGTTTCTTCGTGGTATCTCATAAGTTTTCTATCCCCACAAAAACCACACCGACCTCTCAAGTCAAACCTCGGGTATTAATCAAAAAATAATAAAGGGAAAAAAAAGGGACCAAAAGATCCTAGCTCTCAATAACGACCTTCACGACAGGTCGCCCAGCCTCATCGACACCCTTTCCGGCCAATGCAAACGCCCTCTCTCCCTGTTCCAATGGCAACCGATGGGTGACAACGAGCTCCTCAACCCGGTTGAACTTGCCGCTTGCCACCAATGCGATGGCAGCAGGGTAGGCGTGCCCATCGTACCGGAAAACACCGATAACATCAACCTCCCGCAGAGCTGCCGCACCCACAGGAAGAGTCTGAATGGGGTTTCCCATACCGATCTGCACCAGAACCGAACCTGGAGCAGCGGCGTATATACCTGCCTGCACACAGGCAGGTACACCCGTGCATTCATAGATACGAGAGAAACCAGAGGTCAGGCCAATAGTCTCCTTCAGGGTAGCAGCGACACGCTGGGCATTTTGCAAGGCATAGGCAGTTTGTTCGGCGTGAGGGGCATCCTTAGCCGGAGGCGGGTTTGCAGGGTCCGCCTTGGGGATGAGGGCAGTCTTGAGACCGAGGTTAAGCGACTCGGCGATGGCCAAGCGTGCCGGGTCGATATCCGCCACGACAATGTTCGAGAAGTTCTCAGCTGTTGCAAGCGCACCAGCCAAAAGTAGACCGATGGCGCCAGCGCCAAAGATCAAAGCAGCGGACTGGTCACCCAGCGACTCGGCCAGTTGCACCTCCTCCTTGGATGGGGGATGCGAGCGCCGGACGGCATGTAGACAGACGGCCAGGGGCTCGACAAGAGCGCCTCCGGCGAAGGACACTGAGTCGGGGAGTTTGTGGCACATTTCGGCTGGGTGGTTGGTGAGTTCCATGAGGGTGCCGTCGAGATGGGGGAAGATTTTGGCACTGCTCCGGAACTTCATTTCGGGGCAGATGTTGTAGCGCCTTGTTTGCAGAGGACACACTTGCGGCAGGGCAGACCAACTTCAAGCGCGACCCGGTCGCCAACTTGCAGGGTGGTGGCTTCCGGTCCGACAGCGGTTACGACGCCAGAGGACTCATGGCCCAGGCAGAAGGGCTCGCGAACAACGAAGTCGCCATTACGGCCGTGATTGTAGTAGTGAAGTCTGATCCGCAGAGGCCAGTAGCGCGGATGGCGACTTGGACTTCGGAACCGGTGGGGGCAGTAACGGGCTTCGTTCCCTGGTGACAACATTAGGTATAGTTTTACTTTATTTGAAGTTTGGGGTTTCTATTACCATTCGGAGGTCCTTTGCGCCGTGTAGGACGAGTGCCTGGCAGGCACCGGTATCAGTAACGGTAGCCATTTTTGTGTTTTCGGTGTATTGGAATTGGAAATGGAGTTGAGCGAAGGCCCGCCATTTTGACAATGCTATTATTATATGCACAGCATGACTTTCTTGTCGGCCATTGACTCCGCCCCAGCGTGGGGTTGAACGGATTTCCTCCGCGTCGGTTATTGAACCGGGCTCTCAATAGCCGACGGGCAATCATGGGATACGTACGTGTAATACAGGTTGTATATTTTGAAGATTTCCGAGAGTTTCACATGGTGCTTGAGATATAGTCAAAGCCAGATGTGGTTACCTTTTCGTGATTCCCAAGTAGCATTCCACGTCATTCATAGAGCAACATGTAGCAGAAAAGCCTACAATGAAAGTGCACCTGCATATACCCCAATACATCCCATACCGATATGATAACGGTAATACATCCAGAGAAAGTGCCACCCCACGCCAACCGGAATTGGGGGGCAACAATCAATCAATCAAACAACCAGTGGAACATAATTAAGACTGGAATATTCTTAAAAGATCAGTAATTGGAATTCCTCCTCCTCTTGTCTACTTTTCTTCTTCTTCCATCTTTCCTCCTTCTTTCTCTCCGTATACCCCTTCTACTTCTACAGTCCAGGAAACCAAAACCCCACGTTTGCTCCAACACTGACATCATGCCTACCGCACTGTTGATCGGCGACATCACTCATGCCCGCAAGGAGTGGGAGGAGCTGTCATCCATTCTGACGCTCAAGGTAAGAGTTATTCGGTGGGAAGTATGACCGAACTCAGCTGATTTAGATGGGTTATTATATAGGAATTCCCCAACGGTACCAGAGAGGATTTTATCCGCAATTGCAAAGAGGGTCAATATGATGATGTTCTGGTCATTTATCGCTCCAATACTTCTACAAAGGTATAGTGATGGTTTAAGATCAGAACGCAAGCGCATGCTAAGTCGCGCATAGTTTACGGGTCCCTTTAATGCAGAGTTACTTGCTGTTCTTCCCAAGTCGTTGAAGTATATTTGTCACAATGGTGCCGGGTATGACAATATTGATGTCAAGGGGTGCACCGAGAAAGGTGTGTAGACCTTTTATTTCTACCTGTGAAGGAATGATTGATGAGTTAATGATCGATATAGGAATCGCCGTGTCCAGCACGCCCGTCGCTGTTAACCATGCTACAGCTGATGTAGGTATCTTCTTGATGATCGGTGCCTTGCGACAGGCCTACGTGCCGTTGTCTGCTCTCCGGGCTGGTAAGTACCTACTCCGTGTGAAAGGAATTGAAACAATGTGACGTAACTGACAGTCGGACCACAGGCCAGTGGCAGGGCCAGGCTACATTGGGCCGTGATCCCCAAGGAAAGGTGCTAGGAATCCTCGGAATGGGAGGCATCGGCAGGGTAAGGACCTGATGAGAACGCTTTGATTGCGCCGGAGCATGAACTGACTTGACCCAGGAAATGGCCAATCGCGCAAAGGCCTTCGGAATGAAGATCCAGTATCACAACCGGTCCCGATTGTCGCCCGAGCTCGAGGGAGACGCTACATACGTGTCGTTTGATGAATTGCTGGCTAGCTCGGATGTCCTTAGTTTGAACCTGGCTCTTAATGCCTCTACCCGTCATATTATTGGCGAGAAGGAGTTCCAGAAGATGAAGGACGGCATTGTCATTGTTAACACCGCTCGTGGTGCGCTGATTGACGAAAAGGCGCTGGTCGCTGCTTTGGATTCCGGAAAGGTGAGTGGAGCGTTTCTTGTTTTCATTTGTTAAAGATATCTAATATTGGATAGGTCTTGTCGGCTGGCTTGGACGTCTATGAGAATGAACCGGTTATAGAGCAGGGTTTGGTGAATAACCCCAAGGTGATGCTGTTGCCACACATTGGAACCATGACATATGAGACACAGAAGGACATGGAGTTGTTGGTGCTGAACAACTTGCGCTCGGCGGTAGAGAAGGGAAAGATGATCACGTTAGTCCCGGAACAGAAGAATGTGTTCTAGACGTAGGTTTGAGAGTAGATAAGATATAATTTATAGAATAAAAATTTAAAGAGTTACGCCATGATCAATTTTAGCTATCAGGATCCGATACAATCTCCCTTAAGGTAAAATGAGTGCTCGATAGCGTTGTTGAAGATGTATGTGTCTTTTAACTTGGTGAATCAGTCTCCGGAAGGCCGAGACTTGGCCTGCGGCCCTGTCCGTAGTGAGTGGTACTGCCGGGCGGTGTGGGCTTTCCTTACCAGCAGCGGCCCTAGTCCGCTTTGAGCTCGCTAAAGGGTTAACCCTAGGAAATGCCAAGAGCGAAAAAGCGCACCACAACGAGACTTGCGATCTCGAAGTTCCAGCGGCCGACCGAAAGAAAAGCGACAAAACTTCTCACCCGACATCGAGGACCACCCCGCTCGGCAACCACATCAAGATGGTGAGTGCTTTATTTGGAGTTTTTGGATTCGATTGATCGGGAGGGCGAGAAGAGAATGGAGAAAAATCACCAGAGGAAGAGACATCTTTGCACCGAACATGTTCGATTCTGTCAATCCCAAGATTAGGCTCTGTGGCCTATCCCGATATTTCGACTCTGCCATCACCATACCCACTCCAGCCACCATCAATTGCGTTTCGAGATAGAGGAATATGGCTTTGCTGATGCAGGATTTTTTTCGTCTTTCAGGTCCGTTACGCTGCTCAGGACATTCCGGCCACTAAGAGCGCCCGCGCCCGGGGCTCTTACCTGCGCGTCAGCTTCAAGAACACCCGTGAGACCGCTCAGGCCATCAACGGCATGAAGCTCCAGCGTGCTCTTACTTTCCTTGACAACGTCACCAACAAGCTTGAGGCTGTCCCCATGCGGAGGTTCGCTGGCAGCACCGGCCGTTGCGCTCAGGGTGAGTGGCTGATATTTCTTACATGAGGTGGATTATGGTCCAGTGTGGTTTTTGGAATGATTGGATATGTGCAAGAAGATACGGAGCAAGAGAGAAGGAATTCTGGCTACTGGAGTGGCTCGGGTGGCGTGTGTTGGGAATTGGACCATGATGTTTGGCGAGAGACGTACGCAGGACGTTCGCTAACAAAGTTCTACAGGCAAGCAGTTCGGTGTCAGCAAGGCTCGCTGGCCCGAGAAGTCCGCCAAGTTCCTCATCGACCTCCTGAAGAACGCTGAGGCCAACGCCGACACCAAGGGTCTTGACACTGGCAACCTTGTTGTCAAGCACATCCAGGTCAACCAGGCCCCCAAGGGCCGCAGACGCACCTACCGTGCCCACGGTCGTGTATGTTTCCCACCATATCTCCGGTTGATTCCTTTTGCTGACTTGAGGCTTAGATCAACCCCTACATGACCAACCCTTGCCACATCGAGCTCATCCTTACTGAGGCTGAGGAGGTTGTCCAGAAGGGTCCCGTTGTCAAGGATGCTCATCTCTCCTCTCGTCAGCGTGGCCTCCAGGTCCGCCGTGCCATCCAGGCATAAGCGGTTCATGGGTGTCGGGGGGTGAGGTAGTCGGAAAATGAATGGGAAAGCCGGAGTTTTCTGTTGTACGGAACAAATACCTTTTCACGGAAGGAATACAAAAGAAATTTCTACAAACTGAACAACCCTTCGAAATATATGGGTGGAAGCATCAGTTCTTCCCTCTTGTCATGAATATCTCCTTAAGCGTTGATCATACCCCGAATATCTCACGATCACTATGTGATTTCTCGGGGAAAGGGATCATTTGTTTCAATAGTCCCCTGGCTTTGCAGACAACCCATGGTGCCTTGCAATAAATGGATGCTTGGCTAGGTACAGGCTGGATCGGACATTTTATTCTCATACTTCAGGATACTGTTGAGCTTTGTTTCACGAATGGGATACGGAAATCTATATTAATGAGGTTCAGGAGAAATGCCCATGATCTTGCTTGTACTAGAACAGCCATACATGCGTCTCTGTTTGCCGTCGGGTGCTGGATACGTACGTTTGACCGTAATGAGTTCGGTAGTCTAGTAGTACGTATAAAAGAGCATTTATGGTGTAGGGATATTATTCTAGTCGTCGGAAGGTGAAGCCAAGAAGCCTTTTTTTCGTGCAGTATACTCCACTCATAGGTTCCCGATTGGTGGTGACCAGTTTGCTGTACGGAAAGTATATATATATATATTGAGCGATGCCTGATTGAAGCCAAGAGTGGCGATGCAACGTCTTGCCAGCCACAGGCCCTCAAGATAACCATCATTCGGTATAGCTCCGAGATAGTCGGCATTGGCGATTGGATTTCCTCTGTCACGGGTGTAGTGATGAGGAAGGTGACTGGCGTAAGATCTTTAAAATCGGTATGCATACGTATGAGCCTGTTGGGGGAATGACGCAGCAGCGGGATCGTCCTCCAGTCCCAGGCATCAACAAATGGAGAACCTCCGCACAACCTCAACCGAGTAACCTATGCCATGACCGTGGCATATGGATCGTCCCAAGTGGACAGACCAGTGCTTGCGTGTCACCGAACACAACCCTTTTCTCTAGGTGACAACCTGAGTTAGGTAGTGACTGGGTTTTTTGCCTTCAGTGGTCTAAAAACCAACACTAAGCCTACACTAGACTAGTAGACCTCCTGTTTTATCTATTGATGCTACCCCATCAAACCCTCGTGCTTCCCTTTGTGTTCTTCCTACTTGCCTTGCTGTGTCGGTGTTTGGCGGCTTTTATTCTGTTTTATTCATCATCTATCGTATCACCATCTCCAGCGCCTTGGTTTGGTTTGGTTCATAATCATGAAGCGCATTCTGACCTCCTTCAGCAAGCGGTCCGGTATGTATCGCAACTCATCCCTCAACGTCCAATCGGTTACTCATTAGAACAGGCCCAACACCGCAAGGTCCGTCGTCATACGCTGAGGATTCTCCCGAGGGTATTATCCTGAGAGAAGTGGTCCGTTTCCGAATTCCGTGTCCCTTTTCGCGTTTCCCGTGGGAAAGTTAGACTAATCTGTGTTGATGTTCTAGACTGCATTTTGCGAGGCACCGCCAAGCGATACCGTACGTCCCCCTCCACGCATCGACTTCGCTTCCAATCCGACCATATTGACTCAAGCAAAAGCTGACGAGAGATATATATACAGCAAGGAAACGAGTTTGTCCACCTGCCCGCTATTGTAGAAAGTGCGGAGTCCAGCCCCAATGCCGCCAGGGAAGCAGCGCATCGCATTCGCAAGTTGTTGTCCGACCCAGCGTCAACTCCGGCCAATGTACAGTACAATGCGATCATGCTGATCCGCATACTCGTCGATAACCCTGGTCATACTTTTACACGGAACATCGATGCCAAATTTGTGGCAACGGTGAAAGACCTCCTGCGCCAGACGAGGGACTCGAATGTGCAAGGTTTCCTCCGACAGACTCTGGATGCTTTGGAGATGCAGCGTGGATGGGATGAGGATCTTGCTCCACTTCTGCAGATGTGGACAAGGGAAAAGACCAAGCTCAAGAGGACTAATAGTGGAGTATGTATCCATACGATGCCTGGTGTGCGATAGCGCTAACGGTTTCTTTCGTTAAGAGTACTTGGAGGTCCCAGGTTTCATCCCAGACTTCACCGCAACCGCAACAGCCTCGTCCCGATTATTTTGGCCCACGCCAGGCCGGAACCTTGCCACCCCCGGATGAACTCGCTGCTCGTGTCACTGAAGCTAAGACATCGGCAAAACTGCTCGTACAGTTCGTTCAGTCGACGCCTCCCGCAGAGATGGCGGAGAACGAGCTTATCAAGGAGTTCTCTGACCGATGTCGGTCGGCATCACACACCATCCAGCACTACATCCACTCGACGAACCCTGCACCCGACGAGGATACTCTCCTGACCTTGATTGAAGCGAATGATGAGCTTTCCATGTCGCTATCTAGGCACCAACGTGCTCTTCTTAACGCGCGTCGAGCCTTAGGACAATCGGGTAGCCAGTCACCCTCGCCGCCGGAGACCACACCATCAGGTGCTTCTAGTGCTATCCCCCCACCGGTGCCTCCACGAGATACGCAAAACCCCTTTATACCACCAACAATGCCCTTGGCGACATCAAGCCCCAGCGGGATTCCACCCCCGACGAATAACGGCACGGGACGGTCGGAGTATCGGTCGGAGGACTTTCAGGTGCACAACCCATTTGCCGATAACTTCAGCACCACTGCTACCGGCCCATCAGAAGGACGGAGAGAGGGGGCAGCGAACGACTCGTGGTACGATCCGTATCCACAACCTATACAGCGCGCGTGATGCCTGGTGGAGTGTTGGGCGCCTTCTCCCTTTATTCTGGTTTCCTGTTTGCCAGCCCCCTTGTGTCTCTGTACCGCACGATTGAACGCCTTCCCTAATGCTTTAATGTAGTTCTATCTGTTCTTTGGCTGATGTGATACCTCTTTTCGCGGAGCAATATTACTTGTATACGTTGTTGGTTTGGTTGCATCTGCAAAGATAAGTGACGCCTGGTCTGCGTCACATCATATGCACAAGCTTAGATGAGACAATGTACCTATCTTCCCTGTGACAGGAAATTTCGTTCAGGCTTTGCTCAAAATTATAATTAAACAGAAAGCTATCAGACTTGTTCCCAGCGATTGACAGAGAGGCATATGGCAGCTACAGCATGGCATGCTAACGCTCACGAACTGTTCATTATTAACAAAATTCTTGTCTGCCGAGGACTCGCCGATGCTTGTTTTACCTACACTGGTTCTTAGAGCCATGTACCGCACAGATCACTTAATGAACACCCGGCGCTTACCCAAAAAGCACGCGGCGAGTCAGCTCCGACTAAAAGAGTGGGCTCATTTACCCCTACTGATAAGTACGAGGCTTCTGCCTTCTTTCAGGTACGAACTCCGAAGACCCTTGGCCTTGTTTATGATTACGGAGACTCAAGGACTGACTCGTGAAGTGGGGCGCAGGAGGCGAATCTATATGAGGATGCTAATGCTGGACCATTGCGATAAGTCTTCCTCCCAGGATCCGGATCTGATCAATCAGGAGCTATCCCCAAAGCACCGTGGGATTCTAATCGTCGGAGAAAAGTCGTGGCTACATGTGATGGAGCCGCCGGGCTAATGAAGCTGAAACCCTAACCCAGCTGCCAAGCATCAGAAGCTGGTCTAAGCATATCCACCGGCCACCGTTATGTTTTAGAGTAATTAAGGTGAAACTACTGGGCGCTTTGTATCTTGTCACTTTTAATGAGCCCACCGAAATCAAGTTCCACTAACTATTGATTTCTGGCCAAGCCCTTGCGACAATGGTCTGGTTCAACGCCATTCTCCGGTGGAGAGTCTCGGGGTAATTGATTCTAAGGGCTTCGGGAGATAACCGTCTCCTTGAGAAGCGTCCAGAGTGGTTTCACGGTGGACTTCCGATGGAGCTTTCCTGCCGGTCATGTTAGTTGAGCCGACCGTATATATAGATGACCGAGAACGCTCGTCTCGTCCTGTCTCTCGTTCTCTAAACACGCAGGCTCATTCTGTTCTTCTTTCTTTTCACATTCTCTTATACTACCCGGTCCGTGACCGTCACATTCTTTCTCGCTCTACATTCATTTGATTAGGTATACTGGTCTATACCGATCCATTCTCTGAGAAGCTTCTTTCTTCGATCTTACTGAAATCTCAACCATTTACACACCTTCAAAATGAAGCAGACTGGTACCGTCCTTGCCCTTGCCGGCCTTGTCTCCATGGCCCACGGCCACGGCTTCGTTACCTCTCCCAAGCCCCGTATGCCTGGTTCCGCTTTCTCGGAGGCTTGTGGTCAGCAAATGTACAACAACCAGGAGGCCGACAACTACGGCAACATCCAGGGTGAACTGCAGGTTGCCAACGGCCAGAGCGACTACGATGCCGCTAAGTGTAACGCCTGGCTCTGCAAGGGTTACAAGTTCGACGACAACAAGGACAACGTCTTCCAGTACACCCCTGGCCAGAATCTCGACTTCACGGTCGACATTCGTGCTCCTCACACCGGTGTTGCCAACGTCTCCGTCGTCGATACCGCCTCCAACGCCGTCATCGGCGAGGCCCTCAAGTCCTGGGATGTCTATGCCTCGACCGAGACTGGTGTCAAGGAGACCGACAAGAAGTTTAGCGTCACTCTCCCCAGCGACCTCGGCAACAAGTGCTCCGAGGCTGGTGCCTGTGTTCTCCAGTGGTACTGGTTCGCCGAGTCCATCGATCAGACCTATGAGTCCTGCATTGACTTCACCATGAGCGGCTCGGGCTCGGGCTCCTCCTCTGCTGCCTCTTCCGCCGCCTCCACCGCTGCTGCTACTGCCTCCTCTACTGCCACCGGTGTCGCTGTCACTGCTACCCCCACCACTGGCAACAACGTCGCTGCCCCCAGCGGCTTTGCCACCAGCGCTAAGCCTTCCGCCACCTCTGCCCCTAGCTCTGCTGCTTCGACCGTCACTATCCCCACCGACGGCACCGCAGAGGAGAAGCTCAACTGGGTCGCCAGTCTTCTGCAGACCCTCGTCAAGTACACTGCTTAAAAAAAGTGATGTGATTTACCAAGCTGTTAGGTGTGAATAGATTTAGTTATATAGATTTTTTCTAGCAAGTGAATAGAATTTGCCTGCATTATACATTTGAACACTGGAACCCAGTTTAGGGAGAGAATCCTTGCTTGGAATTGGGTATATCACATTTCATATTCACTCTAGAGGCATGGCAGTGCAGCGACGATTCGAGACTTGGTGAAATTAGCATGCATGGACAACCACGTAGTGGTTCATAGATTTCCATGAAACAAACGATGAAACGTAAATCTCCTCCTGTTCCATCAGGATAGCAAGTGTAGATCTCAGAGATCCACCATGGCGAGTATCTTGGTTATTGGGCCAAAGTCCCAACTTAGCTACCCCTGCAATTTTGAATCAGCGCCAGTTGGAATCAACGGATTTGTCGACCCGAATCGACAAAATTCAGATAGATTGCACCTCGCAGAAGCTTGTTTCGAGAGCATTGGCTTATATTCGAAATTTTCTTCCGGTGAGAATTCTTTTGGTCCGGCTGAGACTTGGATATTTTGGGAAGGTTTTTTCGGCAGCTTCCGACCAAGAAATGTTCCAAGGTTGACCACAGTATGGAATTTAGCAGGGTGGAATCCACCGATTTTATAACAAATTTGATGGTATACTATACATTTTGTATCAGGTGTACATGTTCTGGGGATTTGGCTCTTTTTAAGGTGTCTTGGGTTACATTCAGACTAGATAGAATTTTTACTTAAGAATCTTAAATGAACGATTGGTTTGTTATCCGAGAGATAAGCAGCTCCGGCCCGCAGCTCAGCCACAGTACCTTTTTCTTGTCTAGACCTTCTCCCTTTCCTTCTTTCGTTCTCCTCCTCATCTCCAGCTATATCAATTAGTACAATGGAAGAGTCCCACCTCCGCCAGAGCATGTCTCATCATCCGTCCCCGTTCAACTCTCCCCAGCCTCCTCACTCGCATATTCCATCCACTCTTTCCTACAATGAAGCAACCACCACCGCTCTAGAGCCGCAAGCGTCCCAGCACCGTACCGGCAACACCAGTGATGAAGAGGGTCAACCGCCGCCACGATACACGCGCGAGAATGATCCCTTCCAGCTCGCATCGAAGATCAAGACCGATGAAGAAATCCGACAACTCCATCCCCAAGCCAACACGGCCCGTAAACGCGACAGCTGCAGCCCGGGAGGACTCCTCCACGCAACAAAGAACCCCAAGGAGGCACTGAGCACAGCCATCTCGTCCAGACAGCTACAAGGCTTCTACCACTCGCAAAATGAGAACATCGAGCGCATGCTGAAACCCGTCGAAGAGCACGTCCGCGACGCCCGCGAAATCAGCATCAACAACCAACTCAAATACAAAATCGCCGTCTACGGCAGCTTCGCCGCGAACATCATCCTCTCCGTCCTCCAACTCTACGGTGCCATCGCGTCGGGGTCTCTCTCCCTCTTCACCACCATGGCCGACGCCGTCTTCGACCCCATGTCCAATCTCACCCTGCTCCTCTGTAACAAGGCCGTCAACCGCGTCGACCCCCGCAAGTTCCCCGCCGGCAAAGCCCGCATCGAAACAGCCGGCAACATCTGCTTCTGCTTCCTCATGACGGCCGTCTCATTCATCATTATTGCCTTCTCCATCCGTGAACTAGTCCAGGGGTCTGAGGCGGAAACTGGCGATTTCCATCTGCCCTCCGTCATCGCCGTTATCGTCGCCTTCTGCACCAAGTTCGCCCTCTTTGTCTACTGCTTCGCGCTGCGCCACCAGGTCTCCCAGATCCGCATCCTCTGGGAAGATCACCGCAACGACCTTTTCATTAACGGGTTCGGTATACTGACCTCGGTCGGTGGAAGTAAGCTGCGCTGGTGGATTGATCCCATGGGCGCTATTATACTCTCCGTCTTGGTCAGCTGTCTGTGGCTTTATACTGCCTATCACGAGTTTCAGCTTTTGATTGGTGTCACTGCTGATACTAAAATGCAGCAGCTGATTACATATATCTGTACGTCTTATCCCCTTTTCCATTTTGCCTTGTCAGAGTCGAATGCGCAAATGCTAATAGTGATTTTCCAATCAGCAATGACCCACTCCCCCTTAATCACTGCCATTGATACCGTCCGCGCTTACACCTCCGGACCCCGTCTGCTTGTTGAAGTCGACATTGTCATGGACCCCAATGCTTCCCTCCGCGCGACTCATGACGTCGCCGAGGAACTGCAGATGAAGCTGGAGTCCCTGCCTGATGTGGAGAGGGCGTATGTGCATGTCGATTATGAGACGACGCATAAGCCGGAGCATTTTCTGAAGAAGGAATTGTAGGGTCATTCTCTTACTGTTTGCAGTGGGGGTTTATTGTCGTTTAGTTTATATACCATGTAATGCGGTACTGTGTATTAGATGCGTGTGCACACATGCATGAGATTAATTGGTGGATGCAGTGATTTACTTTACGAGAAGAGTTACTTTATTATCATGATGTAATTAATGTGGTATCCTACCGGGACATATTTCGGATTAATATCGAACCAAAAGTCTAATTGACGATTGAACAAAAAAGTGGTATCCACAGAAAGAACAAAAAGCAGTGCGTCCCGTGCGAGCCGATCCTTCTATCGCGTCGTGACTCGTACAACCAGGTGTCCATACCAACAGGTAAACCAAGTCCATTACAGTGTACCACACATCCCCGGGCTCGAATATTTACACCCACTCGATAGAAAGCAAAGGTCTAGTCATTATGCAAGAGGGACACAACAGAAAGGCAAATGATCTAACACCAGACAGAAAGAGAAGAATTACGATTGTTCGAACAGCGCAATAGTCGAGCAGAAGTTGCTCCTGTTCTCATCCTGGGGAACCAGACTGGCGCCGCTGTTCGACGTGATCATGTTCGTGCTAGCCTTGGTACTCAGTCCATAGATGTGGACGTCAGAGCAGTCGACCTCGACCATGTTCTCTTGGCAGGACTCCGTCGCCAGACAGGTCTGGCCGTAGTTCTCGAAGAAACTGTACAGCCCGGCACCGTACACGTACATGTCGGAGGTGTTCTGGACGCGCAGACCCCATGCCTTGCGGCAGCCGTCGGTCTTGCAGTAGGAGAAGTCGGGGTCGTTCCACTTCGTCTGCGGGGTGAAGGGGGTCAGGGCGTTGGGGTTAGCCTGGTAGTAAGGGGTTTCGGTCTGGATGAGGCCCATGAAGACGTTCTTGGCGTTGGTGACCTGGTAGTTGTACAGCTGGTTGTGCTCGGAGGCGGTACCGTACAGCCAGACGGGGCCTTGGGATTCGATGTAGACGCCGCGGCCGTTGTAGACGTTGATCTGGTTGTGGTCGGGGAGGTCGAGCTCATGGTCGGCGACCCAGAACCAGGAGTTTTCGATATAAGCGCTGGCCTTCTCGGTGATGTGCATGAGCATGAATGCGGCGATGCACTCTTCGTTGGGCGTGGTGGTTTGCTTCGGCGTCTTGGCGCACTTGTCGCTCTGCAGCTCGGTGCCTGCTGATCCGCCGATACGGAAATGCGTGTCCCACATGCCGGCGGAACCCTGGGAGGCCTCGGCGACGTTCCACTGCATGAGGATTGCGCCGGGCGCCGGACCCTTGGTCTGCAGGGCGATGTCGGTGATTTCGACGGAGCCGGTCTCGCCTACTTCTCCGACCTGCAGCATGGGGATAGGGTTCTGTTCATCGGCGAACTTCTGACCCTGGGCCATCAGCACGGGCCATACTTCACCGGTGATCTTGATGTTCTTGGGCACCTTGATGGTGTCGGTGATGATGTAGGCTCCGTGGTCGAAATACACGATCTGGTCCTCTGTGGCGCTGTTCAGGATCTTCTGGATAGCGGCGGTGTCGTCGGTCGAGCCGTCTCCCTTGGCGCCCGCAGACTTGACGCTGATGAACGAAGAGGCAGCGTAGCTCGTGTACAGAGGCTTGGAGCGCTCGTACACCTTTCCACCAGCGAGCAGGGAGTCGGGCTTAGCATGAGTTGGGAGGGCAGTTTGGAGACGAGTCTTTGTGACCGTTTTGACGGAGCAGACGTTTGTGCCATGGACGGCCGAAGACGATCCCTGGACAGTTTGGGACGGCTTGGGTGGAATGACGGACCCGGTCACAGTGGACTTGGATGGAGCCTCTGGCTGTGAAGGTGCAGGCGCGGACGGCTTGGGAGTTGGCTGAACAGCAGTAGATGGTTCAGCCGCTGGAGTTGAGGCAGCACCAGTGGGCTCCGGAACCTCAGGGGTAGGTGCTTCAGTGGGCTGGGTGGCAGATGATTCAGAGCCTAACAAACTGCCCACAATTGGAAGACTCGGTAGAATCCCAGCAGTACGACTCTCTCCCGATGCCGAAGGAACGGCCGTCAGTGAATGCGAGGACTCTGTATAATCAGGAGTGCAGACCTCGACGGTCTCCGTCACAGTTTCAGTAATCACTCTCACGGAAGCCTCACGCTTCTGCTTCGTGCTGCCAGGGATGTAACCATTGCCCTGGACCCAGTTTGAGACAACGGAGCCGCCAGCCAGAATAGTGTTACCGGTAATACCCGCAACCGCAACCTTGGAACCACTGAAGTCAACGTTGTCAAGAATCAGGGCACCTCCGCCAATGGGAATGCTCTTCTCGGTCCAAGCAGTAACGACACCGGTGGGTGTGTTGGTAAGTTGACTATCAAGAATCAAGACAGAGCCCACAGTCTGGTTCTGCGGAGCGTTGGACATGTTCAGACCGACTTGGCAATTGTTGATGGCAACTGACTTGAAGGTCCAAGCCCAGTTCCAGTTCATGAAGATGGCTGTGTTGCAGTCGTTGAAGGTCAAATTGCGGGTAGTGAATTGCTGGTTTCCTACGAACATGCCATAGTTACCACCGTTGAAAGTCAAGTCTGACATGAAACCACCAGATCCGTTGTCCATGAAGATGCCCTGTTGCTTGTTTGCATCGCCGCCACCCTTCACCATCTCAAACCTGATGTTCTGCAAACTGGTCGCCTGGCCCACCTGCCAGTGAATACCAGCACCAGATCCCTGAGGCATGGCAGTCAAATCGATGACAAGGTTACGAACGGCACGGAAGAAGTTGTTCTGGTTGGTGTACCAGTTGCTGCCGTCATCATTATAAGGATCGGCATCAATCACAGCCATGCCGGCAAAGTTCGCAGCCGCCTTGATCACAGGCAGGTTAATGGCATCGCCAACGATTTGAGTATAGTAATACTGAATGATTGGCTTGGAGACGACATAAGTACCAGGAGGGAAGTACACGAGGGCAGGAGTGACGGTGGATGAATCACAACCCTTACCGCATCTGTTCCCAGATGCAATAGCCTGGTTTATAGCAACCGTGTCATCGGTCGACCCATCACCTGCTTGCAGTTAGCATATGTCCTCTTTGTCCCCGATGGCAACACATACCCTTAGCACCAAAGTCTTTTACGTTACGATATACCTGATAGTCTGTGCCATTGCCAAAAGCAACAGCACCCTGTCGCTTGATAGTTCCAACCCAATAGTCTGATCCCGCCCTGGCAGCCAAATTCGTCGTGATTCCCGTCTCTTGACCCAATGGTACGGCATCGACGAGGCCCGCGGGCAACCCTAGAAGTAGCAGCACATGTGCTAGGAACAGCATGATAGTTGTGTGTAGAGACGCCATCTTCGAGACGGCTAGGAGATCGCTGAACCGGCAGAGATCTCACTGAAAGAGCGGAACAGGCGCAATATCAAGTCAACCTCCAGTATCCGGTACGCTAGCTATGCTGATCGGCTGATCAACAACCACTGTTTGATATCAAGGAGTGTGATGAAGCTTCGTCACGCGACACTGTCAGAAGATGTATATGGTCAAATGAGTGAGAATCTCTTGGAGGACGTCGACGAACAAAAAGGATCCCCGATAGCAGGAAGCTCGTCTGCCGGAGTCTATCAATGAATCGTCGACAAAGTAATGAACAAACAAAAGAACAATAAGGCTAGGCAAAACACCGGATAAAGACGCTCCCGGAGGTCAAAGGAAAGTGAGTGAATGAAGAAATGAATGAATGGCCTTGATAGCGATGGACCAGGGCTAATACTTATTGTGCCTGGTCAGGCCTCAAATCACAGTGAATGGATACGGTAAATACGGCAGCCGACCACCACTGCGTCAGGTATTGTTGTGAAATAACCTTTTCGGGTTTGATGATCGGTAATCTTCAGCCAATTGCCAGTCCACTCTGGCTGCAGATCCACCCCTGGTGACCAATGACCACGACCTATAACCACACACCAACCGAGGCTTGAAACACTTGGGTCAGGGGATGAAACGACTGATCGTGCCCTACTTGCCGTTAACCATGCATGATTCGACTACAAATTCCCTGAGGCACGCGGACGATAGATTAAAAGGAACGCATGGGAACCATACCAAGTGGGAACTAGCCAGAAACCTTGAGGGAAAGATGGTGTGAAAATAGAAAATGCCACAAGGTTAGCTTCCGTATGGATGCCAGCGAAGGATATAACGCTTGAAGGAATGACTCCGTCTATTGGTGCACGGAATACACACTGACCTAAAGACAAGCCAGAACAAAGGAAGGACAGAAAGGCAGCATGCAGGAGGGAAAGAGAGAGCGCCTTGAACACCCAATCTGGAGATCTAACAGGCTATATATCACTATGGTGCGGAGCCAAGGCCTTGATCAACATTTCGTCGTGGCCAGATTCCTGTCGAACGGGTCCAAACTATGTGCGCGGGCTTTGTTTTCCCTTTTTCTTTTTTCCGGTGGCCAATACCTTGTTTTGCTTTTTTCTTGTGCTGTACTTCAGCCCTTCCAAGAGATTAACAAGAGCTTGAGAATGATCAAAATACGTATGTCCCTTATTTGCCATCCAAACAACGGACCGCGTGGGAGTGTTTGCCTCTGGAATCCTCTATGGAGCTGTTTGGAAGGGGATTCGCAACGACTGGTATGGATCAGAGGCCGTGCGTCTCCACTAACTACTCGATCGGTTAGAGGAAGTGTGCAGACTGCTGCGATAGTACGCAGGAGCTCAACCCTCAGCCCTGTGCCAAGTGTAGTTGGTACCCAGCATGTATACGCATACATTCTTCAGGCCATGGATGTCAACAAAGCGCCACACCAGGGTACACATAACTGGGCTTGTCACCACGAGAGACTGTGCATTATCTAGACGTATAACTACCATCTACTCGCCGGAGATAGCACCATTTGTTTCCAATGGAGATTTTGGCCCCTGTTGTTTTATCTGCGCGAAATAGGCACCGATGCGCCAACAGGAGCAGTAGCCTCGACGCGTGTGGGACAAATACATGACCCACTCGGTTATCCAGGGGGTTGTTGTGATGCGGTGCCGTCAGTAGCTCGACTATTTATATACTAGTTTGCAAGAGCCAAGCTTTAATGGGCTCCCGCGATGCCGCGATTCCACCACAGGATCTATCTACCCGCGGAGCTTTCACCAATCAGTCCCACCGAAAGCAAGACGAGCGCAAGATTCAAGTTATTGAACTTTATTCCTTAGTAAAATCAACACGTAATTTCCCGCTAAAAGCGACATGGAGTGCCCCTGCCCAGTGTTTTGTCCAAGACATTAAATATGGAAAGGGCCCAAAACACATGATGAGACTTCCAAGAAAATTGTTGGCGTCAAGAATGCGCGGTAGAAACCCTGAATGCGGGACGAGGAATGCATGTCGCTCCCCTTGAATACATCTTCTCGTTTGAACTGTTTGATTCAGTAATCCGGTTTACGGCGTGTTTACTTCGACTCTACTTGCCTCTACAGATGTCTACCTATAATATACAGGTCATATCGTAAAAACAGCTGCACCTGCACCGGTCATCCGCGCCTCTGCATCCTCCACCTCGCTTAATTTGCTGCACCCCGCAGAGTCACCCCGGAGCCATCGATTGTATCACAATTCAAGAGTCATTTGACGCCTGGCGCCTAGCGACACCCCAGGCAATCTATCCTCACTTGCTAATTGGCACAACCCCCTTCTTGGCACCAATGACCGCTACGCAACCACATCGAATACCCAAAAGATGTCTGCCCAAGGGCCGGAGCGGATCGAGCCGCCGCTCACCCTTGGTTGTTGCGACCCTGAAATCTCTAGACATCTGTCCCCTCGCGTGATCTGATGATCAAGGTGATCAAGAGCTTATTTAAGTGCGGAGCGTATAGCGCATGCAAGTCGACGCACCCCTTCCGCTAACTTCTCCTCATGATCCCAGGCGAAACAGAGGCGTATGCCTCTGTCAAAACTGTTTCTGGTAGTGTCGGGGTCGCCCTGAACACGGAATCGATTACCAGCAATAACATTCACCTTATACTCTTGAAGCGCTACGGTCGCAATATCATCCGCCTGTAGTGGTGGGGGCAGTTGGATCCAAACAAAGTACCCTCCAACAACCTCTGGCGACGTGGATGGAAGCGTAACACCAAGGGGGATAAGGTGCTCACGGATGGCAGACATCAGGCGATAGTAGCGCTCTGCATATTTTGGTCGCAAGACTTGATCGACATAGGTTTGGATGAACCCCGTGGGGAACAGCTGTGCAATGATGGCAGCCGAGAACTGGGATGGCGCGCCTCCTGATCGTGAGGAGCCTCTGTTGTCCATCAACAGTTAGATTAATGGTGTCACTCACTCTAAAGGGAAGTTCAACACATACGTTTGCGACAGACCATAGGCCAATTTTTCGGTGCCCTCTGCCCATCCAGTTCTTGCGCCAGGTCCGATTAGCTTGCTAAAGCTTCCATTACTTATCACGTTGCCCCACTCATCCTTAGGGCCACCATCAAGGTAACGATCCACGTCTACTACACGGGGGATCTGAGCCTTGTCAGGCTGTGCTAGCGGTTTTTCTGGATCAGGTGACCATTGTAGAAAATCATAAACGTCATCTGTCACAATCAGAGCATCAAATTCTCTCGCGAGACGGACCAAGCCCTCCCGATCCGACAAAGACATTGTCAGGGTTGTCGGGTTGGAAAATGTTGGCGTGGCATAGATAAGATGTTTATAAACTTTGGCCCATGGTCTCGGTAGTTTATATTTCTTTAAGGTGTTAGTTAGCCTCATTGCTCTAGAGACATACGAATATATTGTTCATCAATGTGAGAAATCAGATATGACTGTAGGCATACACCCTGACTCTCGAGAAGACTATCATACCGGTTCAAGACGCCGCTCAGCTCGAGCCTTCTCCTCGGCCTTAACCAATTCTTGACGGAGAAATGCAAGATCCAGACCTAATTCATCATGGGGTACCGCCCTCAAGCGGCCAGCAAACCCAGCATCGTCCATTATCCGACATGCTAAGAAATAGGTGGGGGCCACCATCCAGACATTTCTTGTATATGAGGGATCCGTGAAGACTTGCAAGATACAAGCCAGGTTTTGACTGGCACCGCCCGTTATACAGATGCGCTCGGCAGAGACAGGATGGCGGGGTTGGTAGAAACCCGTCAACCATTGGGCAAGGTGTTCTCGCAACGGTTGGTAACCCTCATCGGGTCCATACATTAAAGCCGGAACTCGGATGGTTGGTGAAGCCAGGACTGTGGCGGAGGCCTCAGCTAAGGCGTCTGTGGGCAGCAAGGCGGGGTTCGGCCAGCCACGAAACAGGTTGACCTCATCTGGAGAATCCATCAGGTAAGGATATCTGATGCACAGTACCTAGTGAATGTGGGTAATAAGGTAGCAACGTGATCTTCCGGTAGCCTATCAATGACAACCGTGCATGACCCGGTGGTACTCGTTTGTTTGCAGCCTTGGTACTCCGTATGGTGAATGGGATTCCCTAGTTCTGCATACAATTATATATCACGGGCAACCACGTCAGCGACACTGCCCTATTCTGTTCGTTAGAGTTGAAGATTGCGGCTCGTGCATTCGCTCCTTGCTTTTTTAGTAATATTCGGCTTACTCCGACGATGCAACAGTAAAGGTTGACCTAAATACCGGAACATCCAGTATCGATAGATGTGAGGATGGGCAAAATTGCGACGTGACGTTATACGAACGCCAAGACATAGGTAGCGGATGAGAGCAGAAGGCGGTGATGTAAATCCTCAGTCCCCTCCAAAAAATTTATTGGTCATAACCAAGACCAGATGGCTCATTGTACTGGTATTTACCAAGAGTATAATTTGACATACGACGTATGAAGGTAGATTGCAAGAAAAGACTTGTCATTTACATTCCGACTTTACGGAGTAGTTGGAACGTATGTGCCCTGGAAAGCAAAGGCTCTGAAAGTGACACGTCAAGCCTTGTTTCTCCAATCGGTTACTCATGTACGGATTGATGTTCAATTAATATGGCCCATGGAAGGAGGAAGTACCTACGTAGTAGTCATACGTATGTAACTATAGTACGCGGTACCATAGGCCCACTGCTATTCTTAGCGTGCACCTCATCCAGTTCTTTTCCCACAACGGTTTTCTATCCGGGTATTACCAGGTAACTTATCTACCTTACCCCCAGCATTGAGGTAGTCAAGACTCACGAGCAGGTTTAAAGTATTGGCTTTTCTGGATACTTTCATTGGATTAACACATAATCAATCAGTCGCGTAAACGAAGGTGGAAAGGGAGTCAGCGGCTGTGGGTTAGAATTCTGTCCGAAATGCAGCCTGGGAGTAGGAT